GCTTTTGACTGGCACAGGCTTTCAGTTACAAAAGCCGCCATAGAACAGTTTTTCATCCTTCTATGATCTGAGAGATGTTTTGCTCTTTGATATCAATCTCCATTGGCAAGAAAATTTTTTCATGGCTGCAAGGCAGTATCAACTTGACAAGACAGTGAATCTGTATCATTCACAGGCCAGTATCCAGCAAGCCACCCAAAATCTGGCAAAATAAGAGATACCACCAATACAAAAAGAAAGCCTGATAAAAATGCCCCCAAAATATGTTGAGAAAAATAACCCGAAGCCTAAAGCTGCGACATGCGTGAAGAGTACTTTGATGTCTCAGATGAAAGAGAAAACAGTTTGGCTTGCCAGAAGCAATATGCAAGGATTCATTCCCTGCTGGTAGACTAATATGAAGTACATGTAATAATCAATGTTCTTAAAGATGCCAGTTGGGGGCTGCAGAAGCTGTTGGGGCGATAATTAAGTGTGTGACGTTTTCTATCAGGGTCTCCTAAGCAACAGATGGAAAATCTAAGTGGTCCTGGAGATCTGAGTTATCCTCAAACATATCCAATTTGTTCCATTTTCTTTGATCACGCCAGCTCGGTTCTGTTAGAGATGGCAAATTAGGTACATCAGTAGTCAGCGCAAATTAGGCACAGTGAGTGCTAGTTACTCTCAAAGGAAAGGTTTTATTTTTGACGTACATGTTTGAGGCATTTTTGTAAGTTGGTATTTGTTTTTATGACAGGCAAACAAATGGATATTGCCCTGCCGATTTGATATTGTCTTGCCAATTTGATGTTCGACACAGGCCAAATGATGTTTCTTGTCCTGTGTAAATCGGCCCTAACTTGCAGCCACAAAAAAATCTGCTCGTGGACTCATTTACATTCTGTAGCCTGCATCAAGTCCTAACCTTAACAGGCAAATACACAACCAGCGTACCTTCCAACATTACGGTACACAGGTTGGATCAGTTGGCATTTTCAATTTGGCATACCTAAATCTTCAAGCAGGGCTATAAGCTTAGGATAGCTGGGAAACAAACCCTAAGTAAAAGGTGTGTTTTGTTATTTTTAGACTTACATCACCAATAAGGAAATAGGTCTGTTTCCTTCTTCTTCATCTAGCCAGCTGGGATGAGAGCATTACCTTCTCGATTGAGGTAGTAAAAGCCGAGAAAGGTGATGGTTTATGGTTCAATGAGACCAAAGTACCATCTCGTTATCTCAGTTCAGAAGTACCTGTAAGTGTTAGTACAAAAGGCCGGCTTTGCTGCTGGTCATTTCATTACAAAGTAGGCTGAATCAACCTTACACATTCAGGGAATGGAGGTGCAGAAATATTATGTCCTATGACTGAGGGTGTTTAAAAGCTGCGAACACAGCCATGCATGTTTGTTTACGTTCTCACAAGTATTTTGTGATGGTGTCATAAATATGTACTGTATGTTGGATATGAGAGTATAGGACGGATACTAGTATGTTTAATAAAGTATAATCAAGTGACAAATCACACTAAAATGTACGTTGTTTTTCAAATTTTTGTGATGCAGCTTGAATGCTAAAAGCACGCTATGCTATCTATAAATTTGGCCAATAAATAACTATGTCAAGTGCCGCTAGTCACATTTGTTATCACCTCTGGATGTAGAAGTTACACATGGACTTTACTCACCGGCAATTTCAGCTAATATTTAAACAATACTGATGTTTGCCAGCTGTAACGGTTGTTATGTAGCCTCAGTTTTTAAGGGGGCGTGAGTTTATAAGGGCAGACAATAAACTTGTCCAGGATGTAAGCTTAAACTAGTATTTAATGACATTTCGTTCCATTTAGTGGGTGTGTTGCACTAGGTGTTTGAAAACGTAATACAACCAAAAATTTGTGTCCCCAGAATGAAATTCAATGTGTATGGATAATTTTGATTTCCTTTTTCTCTGTGTCTTTAGAATGTCTTTTTGCTAAGATGTCACAAAATGTAAGAATCACAAATTTCTATTTTGCTCCATCCATTTTCACATTTTCAACGATTATTGTATTATTTACATAAGAGATTAGGTCAGAGAGAGATAGTCGGGGTATTGGTACATGTGCATTAGTGATATGATACACAATGCACAGTGCAGGACTCCACAGTAGCTACATGCAGTAATTGAGTTGTACCAGGAACTGGGACAAGGGCTTTTCAAGGAGACTTTCAATGACATTTTAAGTACATTGAGTAGAGGATGTGACATGGATACATGTACAGAGTGGCACTGCCCAAACCAGTGATAGGTCACTACTGTAAATCTCCAAGCAGATGTTTTGGTTCCTATTTGCCACAAAAGACAGTATCAAATTGGCCAGGCAGTATCCATTTACCAGACAGTATGCATTGGCCACCCAATTCGGTGGCTAACGAACACTCCTCTGGCCAATGGATACTGCCTTGCCACTGTATGATCTGTTTGGAGATTAACTGCTGTAACTGCATTTCTAAGCTCTCTGCCTGGTTTCGGCATGGGTTTCATTCCCATGTTCCAATTGCCAGGGTAGACTGTAGCTATGCACCTCTTGTTTCACTACCTTCCCAGTCATTCACAGCCCATTTTTCAAAGACTGTCACAAGCTGTCTGGACATTGATGTCATCTCTATATATAACACAGATAACGCGGTGGATACCATAATTTTCATATGAAATATTTATTGTCATCTCTAACATCTCATTAATAATAAAGTATGTAAGAGACATGAGTGAACCATGCATGGGTGATTTTGATATCTCTGAAACATATATTTTGTACATAATGTACTTGCAATCGTGTTTGATACGTTTTAATTGAAAACATCTGATGCACACCATAGCTAGCAAATCGTATATCTTTTATCTGCCTTGCCCCCTCCTCTTATACTGTATCAAGAGATATTAATGGCTATCCTAAGGCGTTTATTATTCTTCTTGTAGTTATAGATTAGATAAAAGTGTATTTTAGACATTTCAAAGTGAGAAAGAGCATAGAAAAGACTCTATATTACATTACATTCTGCTACTGATGAGAGAAGTAATGGTGTAATAAGAAAAGTTATATTGCTGGCTCAAATAAATGACAATTTGATAAATGGCAACTTAAGACTTAATGAAATGATACCAGCAGGCAAGGGTAGTCCTCCTGTGTCTTCCATCAAATCAAATTGGGTGTGTAATTTGGCATGAAATCTGGGGTGTTCTGGCATATTGGAACCATATGTTGGGAAGGATGGGAGTTTTAACTGTCTTCCTACCACTGCCTATTACCATGTAGCCAAAATAAGCACATTGCCAGGAAAGGTCCTGTATATTGTGCAATGATTGTAGTACGTGTAGTTCTATTTTTCACATTTTTGCAGAAAAGACCTTTAAAAAATCGTCACAAAAACAGGCCTATAAAAGCTCAGCCTGGAGAGTATTTTACCTTACAGAATTGTTTCAACTGTGGGAAAACCTACTTTTGCCTGAGCCCCTCCTAACACAAATTTGAGTCCCAAATGAAAATAAATGAATTCACAGTAGCGATATAGCAAACAAGTACTTCTTCTGTTGATAGAACCCCCTTGGTCATTAGCAGGAAGAAAGCCTATCCTGTTTACGTGACTGAAGTTGTTTTCTCAATTGTCACAGCTGCCCAGTTCACCTTAAGTGTTTACCAATTGTCCCAGGCTTCACAGAGTTACGGAGCCCTTGACAGGGAATGCCTATTTACTGGCTACCTTATAAGTAAGCCTTTGGCCGGAGGTATTTCTTAGTAGGTTAGATATGAGATTAATAGAATAACCCTGCTGCTTAGCAGATCAATGTTGGCAAACTTTGCTGTCGGGGGACAATTTATTTTTGGCATATTGAGGAAAAGATAAATGGCAAGTCTATATTTGTCTTCCTCCCACAAACCTGACAATCATAATTGATATTGTTTATAATGTTTGTTTATTGCAAATTCTTGCCCGAGGGCTAATTGCAGGAACAGAAGAAACATATGGTATAAAAACAGACAATTAGTACACATAGAACTACTGATACTGTAACTACTAAGAAACTTCTGGTAAAAACTACTACTGGGTTTGACTTCTTTTTTGAAGCCAGAGGAAGACAAAGGATCCCACTTTTCCTATAATTTGTGGGTTTTAGGATGTTAAGAGGAGAGTAGTTTTCTTTTCATTTGTATATGTGTGAAAATTTGGGTAGAATTTGGAGGCTACATCAAAGAGTTCATTTCATTCATTGCTATAGAGGGTATAATATAGTAGAGGGGATTCATTCCTCAAGCTAACCGACATCTTGCACACGCTGTCGTCCCTCAGTAAGACACCTGGAGCCGCATAGTTCCTGTTTAGAACTTCTATTCAGCCTGTCACACAAATTGTGATATTGTGTATAATATTATGCAGTGTTACAGTGACTTGAAAATAATTTTTTTTCTTCAAAAGAAACCTATCTTTTGAAGAAAAAAGTGGAAATAAAACTTTTAAAAGAACAGACAGCACCTGTTATAATGTATAAAGGATAGGCTTAAGAATAGTTACCGTTCTATTTGTCCTTTGAAACGGAAGCGGTAGTAACTGGCTTCTTTTAAATCACTCTGCTAGAGTTGGCATGGCTGCTAAGCCTATCGGTGTATGCAGAATTAGTGACTATTTAAGTTAACAAGCTCTCCGGGGGTCCTAAAAAGGTTATAGTTAAGACTAGGTGCTTACACAAACATCTGGAACCTACCCAACATAAACTTAGGCACCTGATGCTAAATAGAATACTAGATGGAGTAAATTATGTTGTTACAACAAGAGTCATGTCAAACCAGCTCCCATGGAGTTAAGAGGCCCCAATGCCCTTTTTGTGTAAGACATAATCAGTCATTCAAGTCTCATGATTTAAAGCAATTAAAAATTTAGCATAATTTGGTAATCAGCGTCAAAAATTTTGCAAAATTTGCAATCACTACTCGCAATAAATACAAAACCTCACCATTCTGTATGTCTTCCATTATTTCAGAGATCATCAATAAAGTTCTGGGAGGAGAGGACATCCTGAACTTCATCCTGACATCATGGCAGCAGGTGAGGCACTCATTCCTTTCTTTCATTCATTCATTCCATTTGGCCATGGACTACATCTGCTGGGTAATCTGTGATGCCCTCAGCATCAGTACATGATCCAAAGTATTACCCAAGAAAACGCACTGTTTTTGCTCTGTTTCTTCTTCTTCTCCAAACAAATAAGACCTGAACCAGATGTCTGTCACCATGGTAACTGGTGTTGGGTTACATCATGTTGCAATTTTATAGCAGGAGGGATTTAGAGTCCTGTCACCATATATATATAACGTGTTTGAATAAGAAGCAACAGAGCCGACCATATGCAAAGGTAAACATTATGCATTTTCTCTGCAAATGTTAACTTTCTTATTTCATTTCCAGTTGGCTGTGGACTACAGTTACATGCTTAGGCTAGAAGTGCTTGTGATGATTGTAATATTTCTTCATAGCCAATGTTTGATGAAAATGAAACCCCGATTTATTTCCAGTTGGCCGTGGACTACATACACTGGGTCATCTGTATCTGCTTCAGTATTGCCGATATAACCGCCCTTTGGCGTAACATACCTGGTCCAGCTTTGCAGACACGCGGTGTGGCAGCAGCTAGTTATATCACACCAATCTTTACATATTTAATTCAAGGAGTTGTGGTGGCCTCAGCATCCGTACATGACCCAAAATGTTCTTTCATTTCCAGTTGGCCGTGGACTACATTGGCTGGGTGATCTGCGGTGCCCTGGGCGTGGTGTTCCTGCTGCTGCTGCCTCTAGTCGGCTGCATCTTCTGCTGCTGCCGCTGCTGCGGGAACTGCGGAGGGAAGATGCAGCAGAAGGAGGAGGACAGGACCGGATGCTGGCGAGCCTTCCACTCCGTCTGCCTCTTCGTCGTCACCGTCTTCATGGGGTAAGTGTCTGAATTGTTACAGTTATTGTAGTATATCCTCCAGGGTTTGAGAAACAACGTGGTGCTTGTACTGTGCATAGTCAAGTTGTTACTGGCCCTTCTTCTGGACCAAGAGGTTGGGACTATGAATCTCATTTTTTGTCGCTCCTTCCACTCCATCTGCCTTTTCGTCGTCACCGTCTTCATGGGGTAAGTGTCAGGACTATGTTATATCTTGGGTTTGAGAAACAACATGGTGCATGTACTGTGCATAGTCAAGTTGTTACTGGCCCTGCTTCTGGACTAAGAGGTTGGGAGTTGGAATCTCGGATGCTGGCGAGCCTTCCTCTCCGTCTGCCTCTTCGTCGTCACCGTCTTCATGGGGTAAGTGTCCATGCCCGTAGCTACGAGGGGTGTTGGCTTCTTCCCCCCACAAGGCTCAAAGGTCCACTTTTCATCTAAAGGTCCAAGATTTTTCCTTTGAAATCTTCCTGAACTGTTAAGTAGGGCCTGCAGGGTAGAGTAGTGATTACAAATTATGTAAAATTTTCACTGGTGACTACAAATTAGACTACCTTATCCTTCTGTGCACATAGGGCAGCCATTTGCCAAGTTCTGGTTTTCATCTTGACCTAGTAACAGACGATAGCCACTTCCTCTGCCACCTTTCATTTATCAGAGCTGATAACAGACTACATTTAAACATCTTTAGTTATGGAAAACCTTGACTTTGGCTGTAAATTACTGAGACTTACAAGACAATGCCTTATGAAAAAGAGCATGCAGGGCCAATGCTGAATAGGTTACAGTAAAACAGCTACCATATTTTCTTTAGAGAGAGAGAGCAATGAAATGAAGTCTGTGAGATGCATACAACTGTGTAGAAAGAGATCAGAAAACTCATGTCATCATCTGTTTTCCCCTAGAACCGGCGTGGCGCTTGCCCTCATGTCCAGCATGCAGATGCAGCCCTCGATAACCGGCGTTAGCCAAACCGTCAAAGATGCCTTTGCCGACGTTCCCACCTACATCAACAACACCAAAACTGTAAGTCAACCCATCTATGTTCCAATGGCAATGAAATATACTATGATAAATAGCAAAAACCTCATAGAATGCTAGAATTCTAAGCCGCAGAAACATTGTAAAAGCTTAATTATGTGTGATAAACTTAAAGCTCATTAAAAAATAAGCCCTTACCACAAAAAACTCTGCACAGGAAAATAGCAAAAAGAGACAGCAATGTATACTGTATAAAAATATTCCATTCCTTAAGCAGTTCTAAAGTAGCATACCTGTCCATACATGTACATTTACATTGTACATGTACACAAGTCGGCACTCTGAGATATCCAAATAATTTTTATAATATTATATCCCTTTTTCAGCAACTGAACTACATCGTGAACCAGCAGTTCAACACGGTGTACGATGCAGTCATCCAGGACATTGACGGTGAGCCTTGATAAATTCGTCATGTCAACACATCAAGTTCATCTGTGTTTGTAGATGCATGTTTAAAGTTAAAACTTTTGATCCAAGTCAAGAGATTGTTCTCACCTAGAGCTTTCGGGCAGGTCACTGACCCAGGGAGACTTGTCTCATGGCTTCTCTGACTTGTGACAATATTAGGCAGTGTGCCTTCATTGGGGCAACAGACTGGGTTTTTTTTTACAAATGAACACCTAATATTGTCTTTATACTGTGAATGAAAGATTGTTTGTTCCCACAGACCGTGGCACTCTGGTAGGAGGCCCAGTACATGACGGACTCAAGGGTGATGTGTACCCAGCAATAGACGCTGTCATCGCTATGGGAGACAGTAAGTTGTGTTTCTTTGTATCATGGTGACAGTTGAACCCCCTTCTGCAACATTTTAGTTTGAACAATGAATTTGGATATTTTACTCATTGAAAAAAGGTCAATGATAGTCCAGTATGTAAATGTAAATGTACATATTGATGCGTCGATGAAGGTTAGACATCCAGGTAATACGATACGCCAAAAAACAGTTACTCAAGCAACTGGATATGATTTTCAAAATCATATCCAGTTGCTTGAGTCACTGTTTTTTGGCGTACATATTGATGTACCACTAAATAAATATTCTGTTATTACAGCTATATCCACCACCAGTGATGCCCTGCAAGCGGTGAACAACTCACTGACTGTGCTCCAGTCGAAGGGAACAGACCTCTCCAACAATCTCACCGATATAAGTAACAGTCTGGATGGCGCTACAGTCTGTGCAGGAGGCGATACTGTCTGTACTACATTCTTTAGCACTCTGGACACTTCTGGGCTGAAAACAGAGGCCAACTTCAGCGCAGTAAGTCCTCTGTTTCTCAGAACAGTTACCAGGTTGAAAACAAAGATTCTACTATGCAACAATATCTATCACACTTTCTGTTGTCACGATGTCTTAAACATATTCTTAGGGAAACCAACTCTTAGGAATTACCGTGCTATTGCTTTTATGTCAGGGCTAGAAACTACTTGACCATAGTACATGGACCAGTGCAAGTTGGGTGCAGTTAGACATCAGAAATACCCGTGTACAGCTCCAATTTTACCTGACTGCAGTATTTTGGAGCGCTGTATATCCAATGATGCTATATGGTACAATGCTGGGGACAAATGTTACATGTACATTTACATGTATGATATAGTAGTTTTATTTTAATAAGCTTAAACAGATAACAAGCCTCACTGATGGAAGTATATTCAATTCAGTATATTGTGATAACACTGTTTTTCCCTTCACAGCTGGACATTGGATCAGAGCTTCAGAGTGTGAACAGTGTGCTCGGCACTAACCTCACAAGCCTTGCCCTGCAGGTGAGTTGTTTCATCATTTCAAGTGTCTGAATCAAAACACTGTTCATATCACAGTTTAATTTATTTTCTTTTATCTAAGCTAATATTAGCATAGAAAGAGATGGAGAGCAGTCATTGGAGCCAAGGGAAACTCGACATTGTGAGTGAGTGAGTGAGTGAGTGAGTGAGTGAGTGAGTGAGTGAGTGAGTGAGTGAGTGAGTGAGTGAGTGAGTGAGTGAGTGAGTGAGTGAAGCCAATATTATTGTCGCTGCACACATGCAGATCAGCTAGTTACAACATATTCTTTATTATGTCTCCACAGGGGAAGCAGGAGTTTGACAACATATCTGGAATTGTGGAGGACACAAGTGCAAGTGCTGTATCAGGTATGGTCTGAACTTCTGCATTCTGCATCTTGAGTTATTGCTTTGAACATTCCAGTCTTGTATTTTCAATTATTTGAAGGAAAATTGTCTGCCCCCACTGTTTCAAAGAAACCATGATGTGGTGAACTTATGAGTGTGTTCCTGTCATGTGGAATGATAGACTTAAAAGAATGATTAGAATTTTAGCTAGGCCTACATGTAACTCTGGATTTTTTTCATACCCTGTATGCAGGCATAAAGAGTCAGTTGGACAGTGTGAAGACTACTGTTCAGGACATCCCCAGCCAACTGAGTGTCATTGACACAGTAAGTCATAGTCAATCAATAGTTCATGCTTTTAAACCTGCAATTCTCCTGCAGTCTCTTAGTGTCACTGACCAAAGGCAGTGGATGCTACCCTGAAATGTCTGACCGTTTCGAAAATCATATCCAGTTGCTTGAGTAACTGCTTTTTTGGTAAGTCAACGTCAACTGTGTACTTCGTTCTAGACATCTATTTTCAGTCAAAGTGTCAGTGAATCCATGTTTTCATGTAGATGCATCAGTTCCAAAAAAAGTTAAATTTTATCATTGGACAGAAAATCTTGAAAATATAAATTCTTACCCAAGAAATCCATCCAAACCACTGTGAGTTATAGCTGGAAACACACAGTCAAACACTAACAGAATCCTCCTTCTTCGGAGGTACATTGTAATAAATCGAAATGTTTCACTTCCATTCTTCTTACAGATTCAGGACCAGATCAATGGCATCGAGGATATGGTGGACACCTATGTGGGATATGCTGACCAATACACTGTTTACGTGTAAGTATGTCCTTCCAAACCATTGGAAGCAATTATGTCAAATATCTTCAATATTTTGCTTAAACCTTTTGTGTTCAGTGCTATGATTGGTTTGTGTATGTGTTCTCTGATTGGCTTGTTCAATTGTCTTTAGAGGGTATGGAGCAATTGGGCTGTGCTGCCTGGTCCTCCTGATAGTGTTGTTCAACCTCATGGGGCTGATGTTCGGAGCCTGTGGCAGCAGCAAGAGTGACCCACCATCAGAGAGGAGCTGCATGTCCACTTCTGGAGGGAACTTCCTCATGGCGTAAGGCTTTTTGAATTGTAGTTTGTGTGCTTTTTCAATTGAATTTGCTTGACATGAATTTTCTCTAGAATTCTGCACCAAAGAAGAGCTTATTCTTTGTAAGACAAAATAAAAAAAACATTCAATCACTGCACAACAGGCTTTTAGTTAGGGGGCCCCCCTAGAACACTCGCGCCTGCGGTGCTCGCTCGCACACACAGACATAGGTGCAAAAAATATGGACACCCCATAACAAAATCCTGCCCAAAAGCCTGCTGCTCAATGTTTAGGGATTGTTCAATGTTTGCTGGTGGCCAAGACCAATGTCAAATGTAATGATAGAATTTTTCTAGTGAAAAATGTGCTCAATTCTCTTGCAAGTTCGAAATTCAGTGAATCAAACTCTTTGAGAGTGCTATCTTTTATAAGGATCAGGAATGAAGCCCATACATGTATCTTAATACCAAATTGATGAATGCATTCTGCTGCTCTTAGGTCTGTGGGTTTTGCCTTCCTGACCGGCTCCCTGCTGATGATTATCGTGTTTGCCCTGTTCCTGGTGGGAGGACTCGTGGAGAGGAACGGCTGTCAGCCACTCGAGCCCCCGAGTTACGAACTCATCGCACAGGTATGTAAATATAGAATACACTGTGTTGTGTTTCATTCATGACATACCTACGTGAGAAAACACACATTTGAATGTAAAATGCCATAACCTTAAAAAATTTGGAAGCCTGTGTGATAACCATTAAAACTCATGTGTGAATGATATTAATTGCCATCTACCATTAAAACTGTTGTGTTAGATTGTAAAGAAAATGACCCCCCTTCCAACCATTCTATCACTTACCAGTAATTTCTGGTTAATTCATACAGTACTTTGTACCTTGCAGGTCTTAATGCTTTGGATTTGTATTAATGGGGTATTCCCTACCAAACAATTACCATATGACAGTGCAGTAGTATTCCATTCTATAATGAAAGCCTTTCAGCACCATGGAAAGCAAATAGTATTTTCTTGTTGCAGTGTGTGTGCGTTTGTGTGCGTTTGTGTGTGTGCGTTTGTGTGTGTGCGTTTGTGTGTGTGCGTTTGTGTGTGTGCGTTTATGTATGTGTGTGTGTGTTTGTGTGTGTGTGTGTGTGTGTGTAAACCTCTCGCCTCTCGCCTGACCGGTGCTCAAAGTCCAACAGGTGCAAAGACTGCCACGTGTAAGACGGCCCCGGCAGGTGCAGCTTTATTATTCGGAGTATCCGTCTCCTAGGAGGACTTCCAGCCAAGGATATAAGGGGTTCCTCCTACCCCTGACTCGTGTATGGCGGGTGCGTCATGCCCGAACAGGTCGAAGACCTGCCACTGCCACTGGAGATTCCAAGAGTGTGTGTGTGTGTGTAATATATACACATTATATAATTCATTATTTTTAAGCTTCAGCTATTAATTCAATGCATGTTCCATTGCTATTTCTCACAGACTCTGGACTCAACCAACTTTCTGGGTAACATGCTGTGCCAAAACTCCTCTGGACAGGTGTCATTTGCTGAGGGACTCAAGTAAGTACAGAACAGAAAGTTGGAGTGGAAATGTGTCTTTATTGATTGATACTATTATTGGTAATATTGAATTTAAGCAATAAATGCTGTATTTTGGTATCATTGGTGTCATAACTAGAAAATATTTTATACTTGATACAAACTTTCCATTGGAAATTTACAAGTCAAAGAATAATAACATTGAAATAATCATTGTTGAACTAATTTATGTTGAGACCAGATTCCCATAGATAAAATTATTATTGCAATTTCAGGCAATGCGGAACAGGGAGTAGTGGCATCTATGCAGCCTTTGGCCTGGAATGTGTGCTGAACATATCTGAGTACACAAACTTCCGAACAGTAAGTTGCACATGCTTCTTTTTAAAGAACTTTATTGAGCAACTGTTGTACAGGGTACAAAGTATGGCATGTTGCGATAATAGAGATCTGTTTTATTCACTTTGTCATGTAGTCTTCCTCCAAAAAACATTGTTTAATATGGCGTTCATGGCGGGGCAATGTATGTAAAAGGCTTTTAGTAATCTTCGTAATCTGAAAATAATTGATTTATACCAGCTATTACAAAGGGACACCGTATCATATATATATGAGTAAACAACTGTGTTGACACCTCAAATATACTTACAAATAGAATTCATTCGTGGCGTTGAGTGAATTACAGTATGCCCTTGAATCAGGCACTTACCATCATGGCTTTCCTCACTCCACCCGGGTGATATTGGATACCTGACTTCATTTGGGGAGGTAAAAGGTGGTGAAAGGAGAGGGGATGGGCTCTGCTGGCCTTCCAATACGTAGGCAATACCAATGACCACGAACAGGCTATGCAACTACCTTTTAGCCATTCATTGAACCTTACCTGCCTTGTCTCTCCCTCTAGAAATTCCCAAACCTGAACGACCAGCTGAATGACATCACCTCCAGTGTGAACCTGAGTGGGATCGTGATCCTGAGTGAGGACGCCAAGACCAACCTCAGGGACTTCAACACCTCAGGGGTGTCTGGCATCGACTTTGCCACCTTCCTCAATGAGGTACCACCTCATCACAAGTCGTAATTTAAAAGTGCTTGTGCCACCTGAATGACACTAAGATACCAACAGCAGTTCCTGATTACATTCAACCATAATGAATGCTAATTAATGGACATACAATGAAGCATTTGTACAAAATCTACAATTTGTCAACTGCCATCATTACAAATCATACTTATAGTTTATGATTCGATCCTACTGCAAGTTTTAATCAAGTTAAAACTTGAATCCTGTCTGTTGTCACAGTGAACCTGGCTGGAGAAAACGCTATTTGAGAATTAAATAGTTGAGGTTATGTACCATCGTAAGTTACCACTATCATTAGATAATGTTTGCTCTGTTAAATTGTCGAAAGAACATTTTGTGAACCATAATGCTAGGCTCCAAACTGGCTGCTGTGTTCACTGTGAGTATGTCATTTTGTTGGGCTGTTGCCATATACTGAGGTCATCCACTATGAAGTCATGGACCACAGGTTATCCACCATGAAGTCATGGACCACATACTTTATTTGCATATATTCATCTTCTATTTCTCCTGCCCTTTTACAGACTCGCAAAGGCCTGACTGCCACCAATCTCACCAAATTTGCCGATGACTTGGCTACTGCAGGTACAAGTTTCCAACCGGTGAGAAAACTTTTACTACGTTTTTCCTTTCAGATTGTAATAAATTAAATGTATTCCACATACTTGTTCATCAAGAACAAAATGTGTCACAACTGACTTATTGTTTTTGCTTGATGTACAGGCCAGCAAGGATAATCTAGATGCCATCATTGCTGATCTGAGAGCGACCCAGCAGAATGGTGTGGAAGGCATGCAGTCTGACGTGGTGTGTATTTCTCCTTTAATTTGTTCTCAACTGTGGTGTGTTTCAATCCACATTTTGATCAAGGTTGTACTAAGGTCTTGTTCTTTTCATGAACAAAGGTTTGGTTAGAATAATGTGTTTATGTCTAGTACATTGTAGTATATTTCAAGGCAGCTGTCGTAAGAAACAGCGTATACTCCATCTTTTATACACAGTTAGGTATAACAGACTTAGGTGGTACGGCCACCTCCAGAGAATGGACAGGGACAAATGGCCGAAGAGGATCCTCACACTGGATGTGGAGGGTCCAAACCCCTGTGGCCACCCTAGAAGGAAATGGTATGACAACATACGGGAGGACCTCCACCACCTGAACTTAGATAAAATTGACCCACAGGACAGAGACAAGTGGCGTGCTGCTATCAAGCCCCAGATGTATTGTGCAAGCACGTCTAAACCTCGGAAGACGGGGAACAACAGACGATAAACTGGACAGTGAGTGAGTGAGTGAGTTTTCTCGAAGCAGAGTGCAGGTCTAATTGTCTGACATTTCTACACACAGGACACAGTTGAGACCAACATCAACACCCTGCAGACTGCCAGCACCACTCTACAGAACGACATCTCCAACGTTCTGACAAACGCAGAGACTGCCGAGAGCAAGATCCAAAATGACGGACCCGGCCTCGTCCAAAGTGTATGTTCTTCTTTTGTCTTTCAAGCGTTAATCAAGTTATATCAGTTTCAAAATCATAACCAGTCGCTTGAATAAATGTTGGTGTATCTTATTACCTGGATGTCTAACCTTCACCAAAGCAAAGTTATCAGTGCTATTGCAGAAAGTACGGGAGGTCTTTTGCAATAAAGGAAATATAATTTCAGAATTTTTCTAGTTTTCTTAGCATCATATATCAGATATTAAGTAATATTTTTTGTTGAAATTTCTCTAGTCGGTGAATGCCTACGTGGATCGAGTGCTGGGATATGGCGACAAGTTTGGACAGCATGTCGAGACTGTGGTGAGTAGTCATATTTTTTTCTTTAGACTGATGCTACTTGCACTTCCATGAAGTCTTTATTGTGGCATATCCATCTCTTAGTTTTACCATGTTTGTACTAAAACAATCATCTGCATCCAGCAGGGCTTGATATCCTTTTTTCCACATACATGTCCATTGAAAATTACCTGCACCAGACAAATTTTACCTGCACCACTCAGAATTTATGAAGTATGAATCACACTAAACAATGCTCAGAAACCATTGCTATTATTTCTTTTGTACTTCATTGGTGATAAAAGTCAACACAGCAATTTAAATCCACATACAACCTACCAGTATATTCAAACCTAGTACATGAACCAGTGCAGGTTAGGTGCAGGTAGACATCAGAAATACCTGCACAGCCCTAATTTTACCTGCACTATCCAGGACTTTTGAACCCTGCCCAACATAGTAAGATATTTCATACATCATAGTCATAACAACTTGCCTCTTGACAAACAGGTCAACACTGAAGTTGGCAACTGCAACATTGTGAAGAAAATCTACGATGCCATGGTCGGAAATATCTGCGACTGGCTCCTGAACTCCCTGGTGAGATTTCTTACATCAAAACTTTATAATTATGTTTACCTTTGCAGAAGAAAAATATTGTTATTTTTGGTCTGTTTCCTCTTCTTCTCCAAACACATAAGGTCATTGACCTGGGCTAGACAGCTGTCACCATGGTAACTTGTGCTGTAGCAGACATGCGGTTTTGTTACATTATGTAGCAAGTGGCAGGATAGAGTTGGAGGGTCTGGTCACCATATATACGAATGTAAGAATAAACAGAGCAGAAGTTTGTTGAGCTATACCACCCCCCACTTGAAGATGAATATAATATACCTTTGCTTTGTAAATATTATCTTTCTACTTTCTTACTGTATTATCTTGGTTTGAAGCCCAGTTATAGATTGTGGTTTTGTTGTCGTTTTCAGAACGGTTTCTGGTTTGGTCTGGGCTGGTGCCTGCTGTTCTACATCCCCTCCATGATCTTCGGAGTCAAGCTGGCCAAACACTACAGAAAGATGGACCCTGATGATGAAGAGATGGGATAGTAAGTCATAAAGATTGTTATGAATAACTATATTTGTGCTTTGAAATTCCTTTAACTTAACCCTCTTTGTGTTGAGGTAGCCTTTTGGTACCAAATCTTCATTTCTTACTTTCATTTCTTACTAAGGTAACAGACTTGCATACGTAGCAGGAAATTGAAGACAGGAAATGAGAAAACTTTGAGGAAACTTTTCTAGGACCTTTCTTGGATCTGTGTGTGTCCCTGATACATGTGCCTAGCATCGCTGGAAATAACTATGGAAACACAGGAAAACATATTGATAAACCGAAAACAAAACCTCTGTACAAGCTAGGTGGGGTGATAAAGATTGAAACTGTATAATGTAGATATGCGTCAGTGAAGGTTAGACATCTAGGTAATAATATACATGTACACCTGGTGGACCAAAAACCAGGCAACTGGATTCCAAAATCATATCCAGTTGCTTGAGTAACTGCTTTTTGGCATAATGTAGAATGGTATGACAAGGTATCAAAAGGCTGTACAACACTTTTAGAGCTGATATCAGTAACAAGTTGTTGTTTTGTTCCAGTGGTGATGGTTATGGTGGTTACGACAATGGCGGCTACCCTGGCCCACAGAGCTACCCCATGCATGAGTGAGTCAATTACCTGTTTTACTACGAATCAGTTCAAACTAATTTTGATACACAGCCAATACTGACAAGAAGATTAAGAATACTGGTTTGTGTGAAGAGGTCACTATAGACAGGATTCTTACCGGTAATGCTTGTGTCAGTGGGAAAACTGTCTTATTAAAGGGACCACCAAGAATGGCGGTGATTGTTTTTGCTTTTCATACTTTAATTTCTCAATCATTGTATACCATAGACCACTGTATATTAAAGCAAAGTTTACCATTATGGATATAATACAGTTTCATACTAGGTGTAATTGATAATAATTTGCATGCATGTTTGGACTACAAGATGTTTATTTTCTAGAAATTAGACAACTAAAATAAGGTCCATAGGATTGCTTCCTTACAACGTAAACCTGCTAGCTTACTAATCCATACAATGTATGTCGCCATTTTCTAGCATGAAACATGGACAGAAAGCCTCGGCACCACCCCCCAATTGGCACAGGTAAGTCTGTTTACTGATATATCTCCTGCACAAAAAACTCACCAAGTTACTAAAACATGTTTCATTTAACCATTCACACATTCACTCATGTTGGCATGACTATTCTTGTCTTATTATCTTATGATTTGTTGTTTGATTTGTTTTTTTAGTTCCAATGAGAATTTTAGTTACTTTTCAATCTCCTTTCTTTTTCCACCTGTTTAGATTTTTATTAGTTTCTATGGATGCTAAAATAATGCATTTTCAACCTATCCAGTTTATCAATTCTATCCTTTCATTGGTCTTTCACATTTACCATTTTTAGCCATTTACATGCTAAAAGTGTCCTTTCATAGCTTTTTTCTTCCATCCTGTCATCTTAAGTCTAAAAGCAGGATACACTCTTTTACAATTTGCTGTGATGTGTACATAACCAAATGTGTAAATCATAAGACTGCAAATGTCCATAAACAATGATATGGCCATATTATAACATTTCAAGGAAGTTGTTGAAAGGAACAAGGCAACATTATATTTTTTTTTAGGATTGAATCCCTAAATTTCACTGTTGTGCATAATTTACATGGAGTTCTTGTAATAGCATTTTTCTACGCAAAACTGACAGATAAATTTGAATGAAAGAAAATGCCCAAAATTAGTTTTCTGGTAAAAAGTTAAAGAAGAATAAACACAAATACAAGATACTGCATGTAAGTATGCTAAATATAGTGTTAAACCTTATTCTAATAGTGTACATTTATTTGCACTGTTTCTAACAGGACTTGAAATAAGTATTCATTGTAGTTATGTTGCCACCAAGTTCTTTTCAACAACCAGTAAAAGTCTGGCCAGTCACAATCATAATTATGCATTATGTTGGAAGCGGACAGTTGTTTTATTTATGGCTATTTGCACCTTATGATTTTCCCATTTTGTGGTGTCCATGTCTATGTGTTGCTGTATTTGCTGCACCATGTGTGTTTTGTTGCACAATCCCGTCTCCCTGGTGTGTTCTAGATATTGAGGTTCAGGTACCTACCTAGCTCACGGTGAAAAAGTGCTATGTAAGTGGTTTTATGTCTCAAGCTAAAAAAATCAACACTGGCCAAAGCACTGCTCAGTACGAAGACTTGTAGTTCAATTTCTGTTGATACATGAAAACACCTTTATTTGTTTGTTTGCTGCACGTTTAATAAAGCTATTTTTGCACGTAAAAATGCCATTTGTTGCACATAAAAAATGCCATTTGTTGCACGTAAAATGCCATTTATTGCACTAAAAACTGCCATGAATCATCATGATAAACACCTTTGTTTTTTATTCTTTTATTTCAAAATTATCCTTATTTTGCACAGAGCAACATGAGAAATGACCCGTTTACTACAAGATTTTTACAAGGATTTTTACACCTTGGTCGGCATCTTAATCAGATCAAGTTCAAAAGAAAAGCCAGGGCACAAGGTTAAAAGAAAAAAAAAAGATGTACCTAGCTGATGCACGTAAAAAATGCCATTATTTATAGAAGTTTTCATCTGAGCAGTGTGGCGGATATATGGTGGCTTTGCACGCAAGCAATCTAATTCTCCGCGATTAACATCCTAATCCACCCCCAAAGCCTGGACCTAGTAATGACTGAAAGAGGGTATCACACAGGAAGGCTGTAAGGGCTCTCCTCTTACCTTCCTCTACCCTCTTTCAACCATTATCCTGTCAGGGTACCGTCACTCTTACTTAGGGCCGACATAGGTCCAGGCTACATGTCCTAACTAATGCTGCTGCAATGTGTGCAGTGTTTTCAATTAACTATTAATTGTGTCTGACTGTCGTGGTGGCTTGTTCTGCACGTGTATGTTCGGAGGTCAAGGTATTTATTGGTGGCTTGCACTGGCTTGTAATTTGCTGCTCCCTGGCACTTTCTAGATCCGGTTTAGACTGGGACCAGCCATTTGGAGGCTATATTTTTAATGAAGAGAATTATGACTTACAGGCCTCCAAACGGATGGTTCCAGGCTAAACATTGTTTGCATTGTGCTTCATGCAAATAAAGTACAAATCAATGATGTAGAAATTGATTCAGTTAACTTTAATGTCACACAATCAGCAATTATACTTGATTCAATTTCAAATTGATAATTGGTTGTAGTGAATGTCATTGAATGTGTAAAGCGACTGGACTTTTTCCAGTGTTTCTAGACGATATTGCATCAACTGGCTTTTAAAACATTGAATGAGAGGAAGCCTAAAGAAGGAGCTAAGTTTTGATTTTGAAAGATCATCGGGTGCTGTTTTCCAGTTGATGACCCCCCCCAACTGCATGTTGGAAGAATGTACTGCGCCTGCATGAAACCCTTAAATGTATTGTGCATAGCATTTCGAGTGTCTCTTTTAAGGTCATATTTGCATGTGTAAGGATGACGTCCCATCTTTGGTTTTAAAATATTATGTGGGTGAAAGGATATCACCTGAAACTGCCAAAATTCTGATGCAATGTTGACTAAACATCCAACCAAATCTGTAAAAAAATCTGGCAGGTTTTCTCACAGGTGCAATGCATTTTGTTGACATGCTCCCGCCAACAAGGTGTATTCCATAATGCAGGGGGATATTACCTTTATTCTTATAGCCTCTCTAATCACAATGTTGCTTTCTAAATGTATAGGAACGGCTCAAACCGTGTGGGACCACCTCCTGAGCGCTGGTAGGGCAGACTCTGGGAAAAGCTGGAGACAAAACAACAACAACAAACTACAGATTTTCTCATTGATGGGAAAATGTGCCTTCGACCAGTTTTTGATCATCAGAAACAATTTGTGCCATTTTAACTTAGATTTTCTGATTTGTAAGTCAAAACTAGTTCTAGGTTCAACATATCATATATTTTGTCAATTTTAAACCATACATATCCAGGATATTTTAAGCTCAACTTTTTACCTCCGGGTAGGGATGTATCCCGTGCGCGGAGGTTTTGTGGGGGAAGACGAAAATTACGTTCGCAGCAGTTTCTAGCGTTTGGGTGGACGGATATGTCTGGGACTTGGTATACGTTTTGCTATTGGGCTGTAGATGGTGCACGTTGTTTTTGTTTTTTAGTATGTGTGTTTTAGTGCGTGAAAATGATGCGTTTTGACAGCGTATGGACACCCCTTGTGTGTGAAAGTGGTTTTGTCTTTTGGTTTTCGGGGTGTATAAAGTGTCGTAGGTTGCGTCCACATCTGGTGAGAGGGGGTTTCAGGTATCGAGTGTGAAAATCGGGTCGCGCGGGTCGCAGCCAGCCAACTTCCGGGTGGGCCAATGGGTCAGGGGTCAACGCCCTCTCGCGCAATTTCGGATGTTTTCTGCGTATAGTACGACTTCTTAACTTACAAATACCGTGGTATACTGTCTCAGACGTTCTCGACATGCATTTCGCGTTGGGGTAGACGGGACTCGGTGTATCTTCTGTTAATGGGCTGTAGATGGTGCAGGTTTTTTTTGTTTTATTGTATATGTGTTTTGGGGCGTAAGAGTCCCTGTGTTTTCGAACTTCGGTGGGGATTTCCGTGTTGTTTTCTGATTTTCATCATCCACTAAGATATACTTGAAGACCGAGCGTGATTTGAACTAGTGTGGGATAAGTGGGGAGGGATGGCAGCCGCGGGGGGAAGCGGTCGGCTTGATAAATTTTCGAGAGCAAGTTGATTTCTCACGCGGCCGTTTGTGTGGGTGTTTGTTTACATTATCGCTGGTCGCTGAGGGTCGGGCAGCCAGATTCGCCACGGGATGCCTCCTGTCCTTTCTATTTTTGGGCTCCAGTCGGCTAGGGGGGATTAGTGATTTCACAGATCATTTAGCCAATTACAAACATTTCGAAACTTTTCGAAAAAAAATGGTATTCGCGCGAATTCACTAGTTAATTTAAAGAACAGTCCCAACATGCACCCAACATTCTGCAACATACATTACAATACCCGGAGGTACAAAATCTACGATTTTCCTTGTTAACTTTTAAAGTTTATAGAGTCTGTTTGGTTCTATTTAGAATGAGTGGAAGAATCATGTACATTTTTAACATAGCCAGTAAAACATATCAATCAAGAGTTAAAATTGCAATGAGACAGACCTCTGCATATCAATTGTAGAAATCACATCAAGAAACATATCAAGAAAGGGAACACATATCCACATTTTTAACATAGATGTTTAAAAAAACTTGACCCATATTTTTCCAGGGTCTCATATCATTTTGTGAGCTCTAAGCAGAGAAGGTGTACAATGTATTGTTAACAATTTTATCTAATTATGGTTGGATTCAGAATGTTTATTTTTTACAAAGATTGTTTTTTCTTCTCAGTTGAATTTTTTCAGTATTCTCTATACTGGGGTTCAAACCTTAGTTTTTTTAAAGAGAAACTTTAGTTCATTGTAGTAAGGAGTTAAGACGTTGGGAGCTCTCAACTGCCAAGACTCGACTGCCAGGACACCCAAGTGAGGGAAAAGCCTCACATTCACTCTGGAAAGGACAGCAGCTACATATAGAATACATTTCATAGTTTGCAATAGGGACATGACAAAAATTTAGGATTCATACATATCAACTCTGACCAAATTGTTGCATGATGTTTTGGATCTGGCAATAACAAATGATTATATGTAAAGATCATCTTTATTTCTATTTTACAGGAAAATCTCTTGACGTTGATTTACTTGTACTTGTGTGGGGTTTTAAAAAAATTTAACAATGTATTAGTACTACATATAGTACAGTGATATGTTTAGGGACAGACCAGAAAGGACCATTCCTCCCCTCCCCAATCAATGATCCCTGAGAAATGTAGAGTGGTAGAATTGTAGTTTGAATGTAATCTTGAGCACAAGTTTGTACAAAACTTTAAAAAAAAAAATACACACACAAAAAAACAGAAATGAATGTGTCATACACTAGTGAAAATGTAATTTGACACAAAGGTGTAAATGTATATGGAATTATATGGAATCAAGACATTTATTTTAGTGAATTTGATTGTACATAATCAGGAACAGATCAGAGAAGAAATATCTACATGATCTTTTAACCTACATTTTACTTTAGCTCGATATTTTGAGATCTTACAAGATGTTTACTTGTAGTATTGTAGATGTATCCATTGCCTGACATGCTGCCAAATGATTTACATATCAACTAACTGTATAATCTGTAGTTTCTTTTGTGCACAAACATTTTTGGCTGTTAGATGAAGCTGCATTGAAGCAAGGATGTGGACTTTTCTGTTAACTTGTAACTTAATCTTACATTTTACAGTAGGCACCTGCACTCTCAATTTCAGATTCAATATCGTAACTTTTGTGTGTTGAAAATCAACCTTTGGATTAGATTTGTAGAAATCAAGAGGTCACTAAGTTTGTTATTGTCTTGTGTTCTTTCAGGCTTGTAAAGGAATTACTAGTGTCTAAAGTACACTATAATGGGCAGGGCATTCCTTTGTAATGTGTGTTGTGGAAGGTGCAATGTTGAATATTTTACGGTATGTAAAATGTGTTTGACTTTTGAATTGGATGATTGGATTTCATCTTTATGTAAATTATTGTGATTTTAAGATTCTGTTTTCAAGAATTGTTCTCAGTTTTCAAGTGAAGAGGAAAATGACAAAAGGGCATGGATGAGCAAAACATCAAGAAAAAATATTACGCTAATTATACAGCTTTTATGTTTGGCATTTGATTCTTGTTTGTAAAAGAACCCTGTGAAAAAAAGGCCATAAAAAACGTAACGTTTTTGATATTTTGGAACAGAACACCTAGTACTAACAGTAACCATTACTCGGAAACTCAATCTAAGTATTGTAAATATTTTGCAACTTCAAAATTTATCCTTTTATCATAAGCCACTTTTGTACAGCCTTGAATTACAAAAAATTAATTTTGGCTGGCATTTACAATGTTATTCCCAATGCATTACAAAAGATGATACCAGACCAATCTATTAACTTTATTATTTTTAAATGCACGCATAGGAATAAGCCAACAAAATGTTATTTTGTAGGAATATGCTTTCAAGACCTTGTATGAAGGAATGAGTTAAAACTACAGATTGACAAGTGCATATAAAGTAACTAGATTTTTGGATGGGGAATCAAGATTTGTGTAAAGCCATTTTGACATTTATTGCCATCCTGTGCCTGTATAATGTTTGTTTTGAATAAACAGTCCTGTGGAAACTGTTGTGGTCTATCATAATTTTTGACAGCATGTTATGCATAAGTTGAGGAAATTAAATAATTTTCCTACTTTGACACAATATCTATTTTAAAACACACATACTTTAGATGGTGTAACTTACATGATGGTTGGCATGTTTCAATCAAGGTTATAAGCTTTAATTTTGAAAACAATCTTAGCAAAAAAAGCACACTTGTAATAGAGGGTGTGCTAGATTTTCTATTGCTTAGTGAAGTTGCCAACAAATATGCAGTGTACTAGTATATACGTGAAGTGTGGGCATTTGAAATTTGGCGGGAAAGTGATATCTGTACTCTGAACTATTTCTGATCTTGATTGGTTGAAATCATCAGGAGGTGTCCTCTGATTGGTCAATACGATAAGTTAGGAAGGAAGCTGCAACAGAGGGTCAAAGGAGGTCAAATGAGCGTTGTTTAGATGCAAGATTGAACTTGTGGCTAATCTGTAAAATATAACGTTATATTCCGAGAAAATCGCTGCTGAACAAGGCTGACAATCAGTACTAAGGTAAGGCACAGTTAGAGCTATAGAGGGGCACTTGAAACTTGGGGAATTGTAGGAGCACAGAAATTTTGTAAAACCGTAAACACAAAGACCAACAACAACATGGGACCAAACCAAAATATGATATGGTGCGGGTTTTGAAGCAGTAAAATTTTAGCCAAACCGTGAGGGAGAATACTAGAATACTTGGCCAGGAGAGTTTGGGTGTTTGGCCACCGTTGAGTTCATTTTGCCACTGACCTTCCCTCTCCTGGCCGAAATTCTTCCTTTTTTTGCCGAAAAAAATTATTACGATCTGTGCCCCCGTGGGAAGGCCTGGTGGAGGCTAGAAAAACCGTAAACTATTCAACCTCTCGAGTTCCTATTCGCATCCCTGCCCCTGTTACCTTTGCAGACATCTTCAGTAATGTTTCTTGTGTAAGAATGATCACATATTCAAGAGTTTTACCGCTAGAAAGTCAGGAACAGCTGTCCAGACGTGTACAGACTTGACGGACGAACGCGCTTGGTTGTTGCAAATTATTTGCAGCTGAATGGAGACCGGGTGAAGTGCGCACCATGCGGCCGACAAGATATTTGCAGTAAAAGAAAACATTCAAATGATGTCGCTTTTCTTTGACATTTCGAAGATTTTGTCGGCAAAAACAATGGGTTATAAACAGTCACCTTTATTCCTTTGTCCCTTTCTTTGGTCTTTCTTTCATTGTTGCTTTCTCTTTCTTCTGGCTTTCCAAATGCTTTTGGTCATGTCAAGAAAATTATGATCAAACACTTCTTTGATGTTCTAAAAAGATAGTGAAACTAAGGATGGACTTTCGTTGGTGCTTTTTTTTTTCATCTTAAAATTTCAAAAGATGTCAGTCAAGAAGCTCACCGAGAAATCTTGCCACTTTATCTTTACCACAAGTCTTGTATGTAAACCAAAGCAAGTGCCTCTGATATTTTTCAAAGCATGAAAAAGTTGTAAAAACATACTCTCCAAGCAGAGGTTGATGGGGGAAGATCGTTACCTTTTTATATTTGGACCTTTTTTTTTTTGTCGCTACCCCCACCAACCTTGTGTGGCGTGTGGACCCTCTGTGGCCAATGGATACTGCCTGGCCAATTTGATACTGTCTTTTTGCCACCCTTGAATCTGCTTGGAGATTAGTAAAAACAAGCAGTCGATTTACTATGGCCCATTTTGAGGCATTGCAACTTCAATCGGACCATGTTTTCATGCATAGAACGGAGATGCGTCTGGGACTGAAGGTCACATGGTGCAGAAAAGTAATCCTTCAGACTATCAATTATTCACAACCGACTTATTGAAATTCCCGACGTTCGCCACCAAACTATTGATTCCGGCAGGAAAATGTCCCCAGTTGGCAAAATGGATTTTTTGTAGCTGTACTTTCGATTTTTTTTTAATTTTATGGGAAGAAACCTGATATCTAAGAAAAACTTTTTTAAGCTAACTTTGGTGCACGAAAGTTGATACCAGTATTATGTAATGGAATCAATGAGGTGGGGTGGTAGAAGGGAGATTGACCTTTTAGTATAATCTGAATTCTAATTATGTATTGATATAATAATGATATTAGTTATATTGTTAAATTAACATTACATAATATTATGATTAAATGTCTGAATTTTCTTACCTTAGTTCTTAGACATATTGTTTGAAGTAGAAGTAAAGCAAGAGACCCAGATGATGTAAACAAAGAACTTGGAAGAAAACTTCACCATTCACTCCCTAAAACTGGGCGAAAATTTGGTTTTCTATTGATCTTTCTGTTCATTTTAAATCCATGAACCAACAAAATGAATTGGAATGGCCTATTCACATTTTCAGGGTGACCAAAACAGCAGGTCTTTTCCTTGGAACTTGCGATTTGGGCGGAGTCGATCATCAGCACTTTTCACCTAATCCTCTTTAATCCCTATTTACTGCCAAGCCCAGATCATATAAAGGATTAGCTGGTGCCCAAATAATCCAGGTTTGATCAACCCCCTGGCAACAACAGCACACTCTGACACCCCAGGAGTCTGGTGATGAATCACTGGGAGTTACAAATGTCTGTCAAACTGTTGTTGTTTCCTTTATATAGTGGGGAGGATTGTTTTTGTTGTCTTTTCTGACCTACTTAGGCCACAAGGATAACATGGCATCTCTTGCTCAGGGACTAGGAGCGTGTAATGGATTGAATACATGCGGGTTTTGTCCCTTTACAGCTACAGACAACTACTGCAAACTGACAACTTATTTTGTAATACATGTACTGCATAAAAAGCAGAATTTGTTCTCTGGAGAAAAAATGGCTGTGTAAGAGTTGTAATCAGTAAGGATATACTGACTGTCTATAATGACTGAGAAAGTACCAAATACGTCACCCAAAGCTAGCATAAAAAAGATCCTTGTACAAAAAAGAACACCTGATAAAAATGCCTAAAACATGTCAAAAATAGTTTTTAGACCATATGGACACCTCAATATTCATCAAAAACTCTGTACTATTTATATATGGTTGTTTTGACAGTTTAGAATGCTTACCCAACTGACCATTACATATCCTTATCACTGTTCAAAGCATTAGTGATGAATGTGCTTTTAACTGCTCTCCACTGTGCTTCACAGTAAGGCACTACAGGGACTAACAAAACCTGGCAAGTAGAATGGCGACAGGGCTGAACTGCATAAACATATATCTTACCCTGTTTATGTTTATGGACAAATCAGAAAATCAGCTCAGTCATTTATGAAGAGAGACTTTTTTGTAAAACTCTAATTAGAAGATAAATGCACAAATTTGTTATTTAATTGTAATTTCTCACCAGATGAGGTACATGTGATAGCTGAAGATTGGAAGTTATAGACACCGTTAAATGCAAGGCAAGCTTGTAACATCGCATGCAATGACTCAAGTTTTATTACCTCCACTCTTACCAGTCGATACATTGCAAGTTTGTATTCTTGGCACACATTACGTATTGGGGTTACCATTATAGCCCACCAATTCATTTTTTAAAGAAATATAACGTTAACCAAAAACACTTTCACTTTATCTGTAAATTTAGACATTTTCAATTTCAGAGAGTTTACAATGTACTGTACAGTAAATGCAATGATTTCCCAGTAAAAAGGTTACTGGAAAAAACTGTGAAAAGAAAAGTTAAAACCATCTCGAAATTTTCTGCATTTACAGTAGTCGGAAATTGATGTTTTCCTCCCAACTGTCTGTATTCATCATGATCCTCCCAATTCTCTGTTTTCATCCTGCCAATTTTTTTATGAAAATGTCCAGGAAACAGGGAAATGAATTTCCGTGGCCCTGGTTTCTGTGTTGAAGTTGTAAGTGGAGGAATTTTCCTTGCAATCTGGGACCCTTTAGAGTCAGAAGTGATTGATAAAGGGTTTACCCTGTTGCCATACAACTCCAGGATAACAACAGCTAGTCCATATGGTCACCTCATGGACCCTGCCAGCTTAGCACAATTCTGCACATTTTTCTCTCCATACAGACAGAGATGTATTACATATGTATGTTATATAGGACATTAAGGTCTTGTGGGTGCATATGCACTTTTGTTTTGTGCATCCAAAATTGGAGCTGTGCACCTAATTTTTGCAAGTGACCTGGATATTTGATATTTATTGAGAATGGCTACATATACGTACTCAAAGTTACTAATTGTTTATACACTTTTATACAGCAAATATCTAAAATAATGTCCTTAGCTTGGTGCACCCAACATGCATTTTTTTCTTTGCACCTACATTGTTAGGTCATTTTAACACCTGATTTTGCTTGGTTTCAAAAATATTCATGTATTTCTTTTTTTAATCATTATTGAATGGAAATGAATTTTAGAAACATTGCACGTAAAGAAGAGGTTTACATTTCATTTTATTGTTTTGTGATTTTTTACCAAATTGTCAGGAGGATATATGATAATGTAGCATTCCTACATGAGGGAGGTTCCACTGTAAATGTTAGTTTACACCAGTTCCATGTCCTGGCCCCTCCTTACGCCATGTCAAAGTGGTACATTCCATCGAGCTGCCATGCATACCTCTCTGAATATTCCGGACCGTTCAAACGCATAGCAGGGGTTGTGGGTCCAAAATAAACAAATGAGGGCCAATATGCATGTTATGTCGGTGAAAGTCAGGTAACAACATACACCAAAAAAAACAGTTACTCAGGCAACTGGACATGAAACATTTGACTGTTTCCAAAATCATATCCAGTTGCTTGAGTAACTGTTTTTTTTGGCGCAATATGCATTGTGTTATTTATAACCCCCTCGAGCACCGTATACAACAGCGTTTGGTTGCTGATTAACTTTTGTTGGCGGCTGTCCGTTTTACCATGGTTTGAAAAAAACAAACAAAAGGTTGTAAATTCTGCAACCGTTTTTTTTCTTGCAAGGTTTGGAGACCTTCACGTGGCGACAGTATGCCACCAATTTTGCGGTTGCCCCAGGCCAAACACACATTCACAGACGTGCATGAATCAGTGTGCAAATTTGAGCTTGCATCACCATGTGTGTATTCAGACGGCCCTACCCTTGGTCATACCACTCTGCATCCTTAAAGGGGTGTGTATTATAATCAAAACAATAAATCATAAATACACACAAGTTTTTGGCCAACAAAATAGAAACCATTTGTGCAATCATTTAACAAAATTACAAAAGAGCAATTTGTAAAATTTTTGGAATTCATTTTAATTACCTCACTAATTACATTTCATACTGGCTTTCCCTATTAAGTATAATGAATGGCCCCCCTATTGACCCTTATGTGCCAACTCCCATGGGAGATAGACTAGGTCAGTTGACTCCAGTCTGTTGCAGTGATACCCAAAGCACATCATCAAAACAGGGCCGGGGAGATCCCACCTAACACCTCGCCCGGTAATTTATGAACCTCTTGTTTCTTATGGTGCAGGAGCCATGGACAACTGTTCCTAGGAGCTGGTCTACATAAAGAGTGTAACACACAGTCCCTCCCACACACCGCGGCCTGGGAAATGCCCGGGGCTGTTCTCTGGGACACAGCAGACCGCCTGGGAGTGATCTAATTCTATAGGAAGCTGAAGGCCACCACGCTTAGCCGGTGAGTGTGCTGCGCCAGCTAGCCCACCTTGTAAAGAAAGAGGGAGGGGGAGACTGCAACAATAGGCTGCTTTGAGTGACAACATCATAACAACGTCAGCAAGCCCTTTCCTCAGGAAGGGAGACCCACATATGAGACAGAGGGTTGAGCGTGTTGGAGTAACATACATACAGGTAGGGTAGATCCCATTCCCAGGAATTGTTTTGAGACGGAGCCAGCCCTGTATTGTTGTGGAAAGGATTTCCTCTCTCCCACTGACTCCCAGTTTTTGTTATGTGGATATCCTGTTCTGAAGGGTGAGCCATACGGAAGGATTGGGACTACCGAGGAATCGAGGAAGTCTGCGACATAATCGTTGTAAAGACGCCTGCTGAGCAGACTGTAAGGTTTGGGAGGGGTCCGACAACAACGTAGGAGAGGTCAGTTCATAGCACACGGTCGGACACACGTGTTGTGTTCTCAGCACTTCAGACCCCAGACCTCAAGCTATCACCACTTCTGTACCCAGTTGGATTAACGTTAGAAGGCAGCTAGGCCGCCGGGGACGCAATCTAACAACATGTCTGTCGACACGAGAAACTTGTTTAGAACCTTCTGTTTCATTATAACTCTGTTACTCGGCCTTGCTGCGGCTCAAACGACCAACAACCCTGGCACAAAACAACAAACAACACGCGACCCTAGCCAGTTGGATTTTGGTTCTCTCCCCCAAGTGGAGTATGTAACGACGACGGACTACTCGGCCGGAGGCCTGGACGGATACTACAAACTGATGAGCGGGTTTCTGTCGCTGGTGTCACCCAGGGATGTCAAATATGGTAGGTGTTTCCATGTTATTTCTCTATCAGAGCCGACGTTGCAGAAAAGAATGCCTGCAAGCTATAGCTAAGGATTTACATTCATGAGGGGAGCCAAGAGATGTATAATTAGTAACTCCCGACATCTGCAGGCAATTTTCCTGTCAAGGCTTCTGGAGACAAGAATGAGTCATAGGAAGTGTGTAGGTTTGTGAGTTTGCAAAATCTGAGTATCGTATAGCTAGTAATATCCTGGGCAGGTATGTTTCCAATTTGGGAGGGGTCTACATGTACATGTAGGGTGCAAAAACACACAGGTGTTATAAGTGTGTTGCTGTCAACAGTCCTGCAGGAAAAGATGGCTGCAATGTTTTGTTTACTAGCCACAGCAGTGTAGTACATGTATTCGTACCCATGTTTATATGATACTTTGATATAATAAACTTCACAACACTACTTACTCTCCAAGCAGAGGTTTAGGCGTTGGCATGTTTTTGACATGTTTTTATCATTTCGCCAGCCAAATGGGTATGTGGCAAATGTATACTGCCTTGCCTATCTGATACTACCTTGCCAATTTGATAATGTCTTGCACTCAGCCACCTAAAGATCTGCTTGGAGATTAAAAAAACACTTCTTTAATTGGCACTTCTTACAATGGAGCAGAAATTTCCAAGCTGCACAGTAAGAAAATAATACAAATGGCTGTCTTTTTTCGCCAGCCAAAAGGGTATGTGGCAAATGTATATTGCCTTGCCTATCTGATACTGCCTTGCCAATTTTGATAATGTCTTACAGCCACCTAAAGATCTGCTTGGAGATTAGAAAAACACTTCTTTACTTTGCTTTATTGGGGACTGACAACACATCAGTACACAGGTCATCAAGGCAGTTGAAACTGGTAGCATATGACCCACAAATACAGACGTTATACAAACGTAGATAAAGAAATCTAACTGCAAAGTACACAACAAGAAATAAATGTTAACATCCTTAATTGGCACATCTTACAATGGAGCAGAATTTCCAAGCTGCACAGTAAGAAAATAATACAAATGGCGGGAATAGCTTTTGGAAGCTTTTGGATCCAAACACGTTTAGCCTGGGTGCCAAACCCATAGCACACTGGACACAAAATATCTCTGACTCTGAGTCTGAGTACTCACTGAGATATTTTGTGTCCAGGCAGTGTGCTATGGGTTTGGCACCCAGGCTAAACACGTTTTCCTCAGAGATTTAAAAAACACTTCTTACAACGGAGCAGCAGAATTTCGGAGCTGCACAGGAAGAAAATAATACAAATGGCGGGAATAATCCTGCCGAAGCCCGGGGGCGTGTTCTTAACCGTCCGCGCCATCTGTGGGGGACTTGGATTGATTTTGTGCAACGGCTCGGCAGAATTACCCTCGCGACAGTTGTGAATCCCTAATCAAGGGCAAGGTGGGGCGAACAGTGTGCAAAATACTTTTTTGAACCCGGTTGCTCAGACCTCCGGCAAAAATTAGGTTGCCCATCAGAAGTTTAGGTTGCCCCACCTATGAGTTACTACTTTCCTCAAATTAAGTAATGATACATACATAACTTCATAAGTCTTCGACAATATTTCTAACAGCCTTTAGTTAACTACTTATATAAATACTAGTAATAGCCATTAATGCCTAAAATTAAAAAGCATCTGCCGGATACAGTAGTGCAAGCCAAGTGGGCAGGATTTGGGGGGAGGCATTCTTAAAATTCAGGTAGCACACTGGGCTACCTAGGTTCAGAAATAGGTTGCCCCAAGTAAAATTTGGAATGAAGAAAAGAAGTACTAAAACCAAGAGTGCCAGAACTGATCAATATTATGTATGAGGGATGTGAAATATGGGGTCGGCTCTGTTTTGGATGCCGGTCAGGTAGCGGATTTGCTCCCCGGGTCGGCCGGCATTTTTTGCATGGCTGCTCGGCCGGAGAGCCTGGGTCAATATTCAATACCCATTCCCCTCATAGTTTCACATTAAAGCAAAGTTCGGGGATAAATTATATAGAGGCGAGGCCTCATCAGACACGGAGAGAAAGGTCATAATGAGACTGTCTCTCCCCAGGCGGATATTTCACTGATTTTCAGCACCGTGAGAGGTGTCAAAACCATTGACAGGTCGTCTGTTTTGAGTAAATATAGGCGGAAAGATGAGAGATTTCCTTGAAAAAGACATTACATCTTGTTAATGTTATCTGTTTCTATCATAAATTTCATGGGTTATGAACAACAGCATAGCAAGAAGTGTGATTTTTCAAACGATGGACAACCAGAGAGAGAGAGAGATATTTTTCAATGTAAATATATACTAAAAGGTGAGAAGAAGACATATGTACCTTGTTACCTTTTTCTACCACACATTTCATGCGTTATAAATATGAACAATCGCATAGCAAGAGAGAAAGGTCATAATGAGACTGTCTCTCCCCAGGCGGATATTTCAGCACTGGTGAGAGGTGTCAAAACCATTGACAGGTCGTCTGTTTTGAGTAAATATACGCCGAAAGATGAGAGACTTCCTCGAAAAAGACATATGCACCTTGTTACCTTTTTTTATCATACATTTCATGCATATAGGAAGAAGTGTGATTTTTCAAAGTAAATATACACTGAAAGGTTAGCGGAAGATATTATGTACCTTGTTACCATTTTCTATCATACATTTCATGGATTGTGAACAACTGCAAGGGCGAGAAGTGTGATTATTCAAGGTACTGTAAATATACACTGAAAAGGTAAGAAGACATGGCAGTTCAAAGTATCATCAATTGCATAGCAAGAAGTGTGATTTTTCAGTGTAAATAAAATTAAAATATACATCAAGAAGGTGAGAAGAAGACATATGTACCTTGTTACCTCTTTCTACCACACATTTCATGGGTTATAAATATGAACAATCGCATGGCAAGAAGTGTGATTTTTCAACATGGAGGCCAACTGTGTGATATTCACCCCAGCAGTATGTTATGCTGCCGATACGATTGATTTGATTCAGGGGATTTTAAAGTAACCAATGCACGCTCCTGTACAGTATGGAGAATGAGAAATGCATAGATTGCAAGCAGGTCGTTCATCAAATATATTTGTCAGCGTTCTAGGCCTGTGTTCAGAGAACCAGTGGGTCACAGGTGGTATAAGGATATACTTCAATTTCATACTGTTATCAATTTTAACATCTATCTACTCGTGTATGTATATCTATATACATAATTCACGGGTTGTGTCATCTTGTATCCATGGGGAAAATCTAATTTTAAAGGGTCCATATTAAAGCCTGTTTTTGTGTTCTGATAAAAAAAATTCACTGTAAGTGTTAGAAGAAAATTGTTCACTTGGAACTCATTGATGAGAAAGAAATTGACCGTGTGAATGTACATGTGCATTGTCACTCAGGTCATAATGTCATCCTAGTAATACTAGTCTAGTAATAGGTTTTGGATCCAATATTATGTTTTCCTCAGTAGTTTAGACTTCGCTTCTAGTCAAAATAATTTGATTTCAAAGGGAAGAGTATCATATTTTTACACAATAAAAGAACATTCCAAGCAAATCTTTTGGTGGCTGCCAGACAGTAAAAAATTAAATAAAAACTCGTAAAAAATAAGCTGAAGCCTAAAACCTCTGCTTGGAAAGGTATAACACAAGCACACAAGCCAGCCAAAACTAATCTCCAAACAGATCCCTTTCTGTGGCAAAAAGACAGTATCAAATTTGCCAGGCAGTATCCATTAGCCAGAGAAGGTCCGCGGCCACCGACGGTGGCAGCGACAAAAAAAAACGGCTATGTATAATAAAGTAACGATCATTCCCCACAACCTCTGCTTGGAGAGTAAGCCAAACCCAATTCTTCACTCCCTAGAGGTCAAGTCATAATCCAGATTTCTGCCATAGCTACAAATCTAAACCTCTTTTGTGCCAACGTTTGCATAGCTCAAAGAAAACAATCAGCACAAATTTGTATCCCTACAAACCTTCTTTCATAGTGACCCCGGAGAATCGCCTTGGAAATGGTCCAGCTCCAGGTTCCTATGGTAAATTATTTCCTGGTCAGTGATTTTCCATAAGCAGTTGATGGTGTCATGGATATTCTTGTGCTCTGTTTGATTCCTCTGGTGTGGTAATACTATTTAGAAGGTTTTGAACTATTAATCTATGAGTGGAGGACATTCAGAAGAAAAACAATCTGTTGTTTTGTTAATGTTAGTAGAAGTAGGAATGTAATAAGGCTGGTTGGAAAAAAACATGATGAATGAGAAACTTAATTTCAATATTTCAACCTTTCTTAATGAACAGCATTCAATTATCTCTGAAACACCCACCACTAAAACAAACTGTTTACGTCTCGCCTATCCTTGTGAAAGCATCCAAAATATTTCTATTGTGACCAGGTGGTAACTTTTCTTTCAAATGACAATTATATTTATGATAAATGAGAAACAATCTTCAAGAAATAGATCTATATCCATGTTTCATAAACATCCGCCACTAAAACAAACTGTTTACCTTTCAGGTGTGCTTGTGAAAGTATCCAAAATACTTGTAAATGTGACCAGGTGCTAATTTTTCTTTTGTACCACTCTTTTTCTTTCTTTCAAAATATTTGATATTTTTATGATATGACTGTTTATGATAAAAAAGAATTATTTCAACATTCCTTCAAGAACTATTCCTGTTTCAGAGATGTCTACCACTGAAACAAACTGTTTACATGTACATCTCACCTATCCTTGCGAAATCATCCAAAATATTTGTGATGTGACCATCTTTATGATATGACTGTTAATGATAAATTAACTACTTGTATTTCAACATTCCTTCAAGAATTGTCCCTGTTTCTGAAATGTTTTCCAAACTGTTTACAATGTACGCCTCACCTATCCTTGTAAAAGCATCCAAAATATTTGTGATGTGACCAGGTGTCTGATTAGCTTCCACCTGAGACAAACCTGATAAAGGGCTGTAACCTGATACCTCCCACGGGACGGAACACAAATAAATCACT